CTGGCTGTTTACTTATTTATTTATTTTTCCTATATGTATTAGTTGGCCAATCAATTTCTTTCTATTTATAGTAGAGATGGGGTCTCGCTCTTGCTCAGGCTGGTTTCGAACTCCTGACCTCAAACAATCTGCCCGCGTGGGCCTCCCAGAGTGCTAGGATTACAGGCGTGAGCCACCTAGCCGAGCTGGCTGTTTGAAAGAGCTGGCAACCCCGCCCTTTGCTCCTTCTCTCGCCACATGACACTCCTGTTCCCTCTTTGCCCGCCTTGATAGGAAGCTCCCCGCAGGCCTCGCCAGGACCAGATGCTGGCACCACGCTTCTTGTACAGCCTGCAGAACCGTGAGCTGAATAAACCTCTTTTCTTCATAAATTACCCAACCTCAGGTGTCTTCTTTATAGCTACACAGACTAACACAAAGACCAAGGAGGGCCTATTTCAGAATGCCAAAGTGACTCAGCTTTAGGATATCTATTAATACAAATCACTACATTAATAAACTAAATGAGGAAAGGTATATGATCATTTCCACAGTTGTTAAACAGATGAGGATAAAATTTACAAGCATCTTGATTTAAAAAAAAAAATCTTAGAATGCCAGGATGGAAGGAAATGCCTTAAGTTAATAAGGGCATCTCTCAGATGCTAACAGCAAACATTACCTTAGATCAGGGGTCCTCAAACTTTTTAAACAGGAGGCCAGTTCACTGTCCCTCAGACGTTGGAGGGCTGGAGTATAGTTTTTTTTTTTTTTTTAACACGTCAGGGTAAGTATGGCTGGACTATAGTTTTAAAAAAACTATGAACAAATTCCTATGCACACTGCACATATCTTATTTTGAAGTAATAAAACTAACAGGCAAAAACACCCGCATGTGGCCCTTGGGCCATAGTTAGAGGACGCCTTCTAGATGGTAACCATTAGGAGCAACGCCATACGAGTCAGGAATAAAACAAGGTTATCAAAAAATACCATTATTAGTCAACCTTTTGCCCCTGTTAGTCCTCAATATGAGCAAAGGAGAAGTAACACTGGGCCTGGGCTGATGCAAGTTTGCCTGGAAAAACGACCTAAAAGTTCTGTCTTCTCACATCATCACTTCCTTTCCTTGGACACTACAGTGTGGGGACGGACGTGGAAGGCTGCGTTGTCCTCGTGTGCGGTGGGAGCATGCCTGCATCGTGGCGGCGGGTGGTGGCCTACAGGCCTCAGGCCCCACTCCGTGATGGCAAAAGTGTCTTAAAAACAACTTGGAAAACTGAGCTGTGATTTCTCGCTGAGTCTTCTCTTGAGAGCAGTACAGAGCCCACACGGGTGATGGTGCCCATGAAGCTTCAGGGCCTCCCAGTGATGTGAAGATGTGGTCCCTGCTGTGTTTCCTGTCCCGTGTCCTTCTGTGAAGCTCAGCAAATGGTGACATTTGCTAACAGAAACCCCCTCTCAGCATTGTGCTTGGCAGCGGATCATTAAGAGCTTCTAATTAAATTCGAGAACAAGAAGTGGAGCATGAAACACCATTATCTAATGTTATTTTAACAGTTTTAGCCAAAGCAGCTAGACAGAACACCAAAACAAGATGGAAATCAGAAGATATTATAATTATTTCTTCTGACAAAGTATGGGATCAAAGATTCAAGTGTACATTCAACTGCATAAAAAATTACTAGAAGTCTTATGTACTTCTAGTAGCCTTTTCATTATAAAATGATAATTAAAATATGTACATACCAAAGCAAAAAAATATTTAAAATATCTAGTACTAAACCTGAAATACGGAAGGTTCAATATATATTTTAAACAACAATACAAGTGTAATGATATTTATAACAAGAAAAATTCCAGATCTATAAGACAGATAAATATTAAAAATTAAAACTCTTAAATACTAAGGGAAAGGTAGGAAAATTATTTATAATATTGGAGTGGATAAGGCTTTTCTAGGTAAAACACATAACCCAGAAACCATACAGGTAAAAATGTGTAAATGAATAAAACCAATTTGAGTACCTAAAATGTTTACACAGAAAGAATGCCATTAAAAAAGTCAAAAGATGAATAACAAACTACAAAGAAATATATATTTACAAAACATATAACACTGGCCAGCTTCTTTAACATAAGGAAGTGTATGTATGTATATATGAATTATAAAAAGTAACATACTATTAAAATGGACAACAAACATGAATGGCAGTCAACAGGTAAAGAAATATAAGTAACTTATAAACAAATGTAAAGATGCTCAATTTCAAGTTTAGTTAAAGAAATGAAAATTACATAATAAAGTCTTACATTTTTATCAGATTGGCAAAGATAAAAAAATTTCTGACAACACACAAAAGTGTATAATCAGACACCACCATATATTGTTGTCAAAATGTATAATGGTGCCTTGTTTTTAGAGAGCAACTTAGGAACAATATTCTAAATTTAAAGTACACTCATATGTTTCAACTGCAAGGACACTCTTAGTAATTTCCTCTAGGTCTGCTTGCATTCCTGTCTTGTTCACTACCAGACCCTAGTGCTAAGACCAGTCCCCCAAGCAGCAGCAAAGCCACTCAGTAACTGTTGAGTAACAAATGTGCACAAAGGGTAATATTCTTTGCCATGTTCGCTTTAGCAAAAGATTAGAAACCTCTCTAACCTATCCTTCATTGAGGGATGGTTAAATAAATGATCACACATCCATCCATCCAGTGGAATTCTCTGCTGTTCTCTATTTAAAAGAAGATCTCCAAGTGCTGATACGGAAATGTCACCAAGCTAAATGGCTGACTGACAAAAGCACTGTGGCAGTGTGTAAAATCGACCCCTATGTGTAAAAAATGATACATACACAAAAATATGCATAGACAATGACTGGGAAGGCAAAAAAATAATTTTTTAAAAAACTCTATTAAAAGTGGTTACTTCTGTTAGAAGTCTGGAATAAAATATTTACTTTTGTTTATATGTCCTTTTTATGGTGAGAACACTAGTTAATTTTAAATTATGTAGAGGAAACAGAGGTAAACACTGCAAACACATATGGAGATGTACTAGGTACTGTAAAATAAAACAAAAACTGGAGTGAAGAAGTTGGAAAACATTTGGATAAACCAAAGCAAACACTATGTTCTTGAATGGGAAGACATAGTATTGTTTAGGTGTCCATTTTCCCTCAAGGTAATCTATAAATTTAATACAATTCTAATTCAAATCTCAAATCCATTCCTTATAAGTCTTTTTTAAAAAAATCAAAGCTCACAATTAAGACTAGGCTAGAGTATTTTTAAGAAGTAGATTAAAAACTCTGGGATGGGGTAGGGAATAGAACATGTCCTACCAGTTATAAAAATAGGTTTTAAGCTGGGTGCAGTGGCTCACGCCTATAATCCTAGCACTCTGGGAGGCCGAGGTGGGCAGATTGCTCAAGGTCAGGAGTTCGAAACCAACCTGAGCAAGAGCGAGACCCCGTCTTTACTATAAATAGAAAGAAATTAATTGGTCAACTAACATATATATATATAAAATTAGCCAGGCATGGTGGCGCATGCCTGTAGTCCCAGCTACTCGGGAGGCTGAGGCAGCAGGATTGCTTGAGCCCAGGAGTTTGAGGTTGCTGTGAGCTAGGCTGACGCCACAGCACTCACTCTGAGATTAAGAACCAGAGGGCTCAGCCCTTCAAGAATGGGCACCATGCATGGGCTTTCTTTTTGGTCTGGACCTCTAGGCACTGTTGCTTCACCTCACCCCAATCACTCTGTCTCCCCCACAAAGGGCTCTGTTTTGGAAAATGGGGGCGTGAGAAAAAAAACGGCCAATCTCTTGTGGGTTGCCAGATTTTACCATATTCGTGGCACCTAGTATTTAGGATTAAAGAGCCTGACCAAGTTACGGATACAAGATGGGAAGTCTTTGTGATAGAGACGGAGATCCAGGTTGTGCTAATTCTTGGTAACCATGGAGAGGACTACGCCATACTGAGGATACTTCTGTGCACGCCAGATGGGGATGGGATCTGATCGATGTGCTCAGGCCTTATTCAATGGAAAATAACAAGATTAAGCTCTGAAAATTACTTTCTGTAACTCAGTAGGTGCTTCAGCATTGAAACTGTGCCAACTTACAAAGTCCTGCTGGCCTTTGTAGATAAGAACGCAGGGAGCAGCAGGCTTCCCACAGCTGCCCGTGAATTCAAACAACATGGCCTGAAGACGAGTAGGAATGGCCCCGCTGCAGAGAAACTTCTAGTCATTCAGTACCGACTTCTCAGAATGACAGCCACAGGCAGAGCAAACAGATTGGTAGCTATGGAGGAACATGGCCCTGAAAGGTAGCCTGGTGTTGTCTTCAAGATAAAGAAACAAATGCCAATGTCCCCACACCCAGGAGTCACCGTCCTGTCAGGAGTCTAAGTACATCCTACCTGAATGCAACCATACCCACTTCAATTTCTGTACCAGCCAGACAAATGTACTGTAGTACCATGAGCTAAGTTATCCTAAAATAATAGTTCTATCCAACAACCCATTTATTGATCCTCTACAATGTACACAGCAGCATGCTATCTACAATTTTTCTAGATTCAAAAGAAAATTCTTTTTAATTGAAAAATGAAAACCATATTGTTTTGATGTACTCATTATCAAGCGTATATGTGTATTAGCATTTAAACTTGACTTACTAAATTGATTTTTAAAAATTCAATGCAAATAAGAAGCAATGCAACAAATGCTAAAATTTAATAGTAACTAAATACATTTATTCTAAAATACACTACACAGTGATCCTTAAAAATACACTATTTCTGACTTACAAGTAGAACAAGTTTTAATTGAATGAATTTCTAGAAATGAATCAACTTAACCTAAATTCCTTAAACATCTAGAAAACATCACAATTAGTTGAAAGTTCACACGAGAGCCCAAGAATATAATAAAATTAATTTTTAAATTGGTCTCGTGCAAAATCAAAGCCTATGACCTTTATGAAAAGGTTTGCATTTCATTACTCACCAACTGGCAGCCTTCTAGGGAGTTGACTAGCTGAGCATTCTGACAGGAGAGGATTGAACCAGCCAAATTCAGCATCACACACACTGCAGAAAGCAGCATAAAAAAGGTTATCTGGAAACAAACCAAACAAAAAATTGATTATTCACTTGGAGAGGCTTAAAGGAAAATTGAATTAGCTTTCCAACAGCTTTCAGTTGATCAAATAATTACACAGATAACACATGTATGTGTTTTAAAGGAAAGTGTTAGGTTATTTCTCAAAATTCCAAATTCATATTATCTTCAATAAAAAAAAGTAAAATCTGTAAAAAGCCATAGCAAGCTACCATGATTTTCTTTGAAATCTATTACAATAAAATATTTAAGAAGCTAAACTTAAAACAATCATGCATTTGTATACTCTCAACAGTAACAAGTTATAAATTATTAAAGAAAATCAAGTGAAAGAAGTATACTTATTAAAATGCCTTTAAGTTATTTCTTTTAATTTTTATTACAGAAAATTCCTTACACATGCATGTAAAACCAGAGACAGCAGGATAATAAAGCTCCATGTACCCACCACCCAATCTCAGTAATTAATCCACTCGTGGGCAACTGTGTTTCATTTATAGCCCCTCCCCTCCTGAGTATTTTGCAGCAAATGTCAGACATCATATAATTTTATCCTGAAATACTTCAGTGTGTATTTCTAAAGTAATTAAGTTACTCTCTGAAAACATAACCAAAATACTATGATCACATCTATTATAATAAAAATTCATTAATATCAAATATTCAGAGTTCACATTTCTCCAATTGTTTCAATTTTTTTCACACTTTGAATTAGGCCACACAGGATACAAAGAAATGCCATAGAGCACCGCTGGATAGCTCTTGGTCTATGCTGTGGGTTTCTTCCCCCTGTTTTTTTTTTTTTTCCTTGAAATTTGATGAAGAAACCAGTTCATTTGTCCTATCGAGTTTCCCATAGCCTAAACTTTCTGATTGTAGCCTTCTGTCATTTCATGTTTCTCTAGCCTCTGTATTTCTTGTAATTTGGTAGTTAGATCTAGAGGTTTGACTATATTCAGACTAATAACAGGCAATTATTGTCTCTTTTTGTGATTTTGGCAACCATTTCTGACAATTGCTTAGATTCATTAATTTATTAGAGTTTCCAAAATAGTGCTAGTCTAACTCCATCATTTTCTTTGTTTTTTTGTTTGTTTTGAGACAGAGTCTTGCTCTGTCACTCAGGCTAGAGTGTAGTAGCGTCATCACAGCTCACTGCAACCACAAACTCCTGGGCTCAAGGGATCCTACTGCCTCAGCCTCCTGCGTAACTGGGACTACAGGCATGTGCCACCCACCACACCTGGCTAATTTTTCTATTTTTTGTATAGATAGGGTCTGGCTCTTGCCCAGGCTGGTCTTGAACTCTTGGCCTCAAGAAATCCTCCTGCCTCAGCCTTCCAGGGTGGTAGGATCACAGATGTGTATTTTCTTTGTTTATTAACAGGAATATATATATATAGACAGAGATTTTCCCTCAACTGTTTTGCTACCCTGAGGTGTAGTTCATATAGGAAAAGCATATATTTGACTCTTTCTGTTCCTTTTCCAGAGTAAATAGTAAGTTCACATGGTACTAGATTTGCAAAATAAACTCAAGGAGACCTATGTGGTTATCTAATGCTCTTGCTACACCTATGTAAATAATCTGCCCAAATCTAATATAACAAGACCTTTTTTTGTGAGTGAGAGTAATCTTTAATATGTTCAAGAAGGGGGAGACTGTCAGGAAAACTTGTTAAAGACTTAAAAATGAACAACAAATAAATTACTGCATATCTGCATATCCTTGATTTGTGCCTTTCATTGTCTTTATGGGGTTTTTTTGTTAAATTTTGAGACAGGGTCTTGCTCTGTAGCCCAGACTGGAGAGCAGTGGTGGGATCATAGCTCACTGCAGCCTCGAACTAATGGGCTCATGTTGTCCTCCTGCTTCAGTTTTCTGAGTAGCTGGGACTAGAGGTGCACGTCACCACACCCAACTAATTTTCTTTGAAATTTTTTCCATAGAGAGGGGGTCTTGCTATGTTGTCCAGGCTGGCCTGGAATGTCTTACCTCATGAGATTCTCCAGCCTCAGCCTCTGCTCCCCTCAAAGCATTGGGATTACAGGCATGAGCCACCCCTGCCCTACCTCTTTATGGCCATTTTAAAATTTTGCAAGTTGTAGAAAACTGAGAGTAGTGCAAATGATTCTTGACAATACAAATATAAATGAATTTTGTCAAATGGAATGTAATTGATTATTGTCCCATGGATATTGACCACTTTTACATCTATTTGTAAGTTTATTTCAGCATTCTTTATTGCTTGTGTGTGCAGTGTTTGAATTTTCCTTTAAACTGCTTATAACATCTTACTGGTTCCCTCATTAAATCATGAGTTAAATATGATCTTTGACATATGTTTATTTTTAAAAAGTTGGTTCCCTAGCATCCTCCAAAGTTAACTAATGAGGTACTACTCTTTTATTTGTTTGGGGGAAGGAGTGTGAGTCATTGTGAACCACGGACTTAAAACATTTGATGTTTCAATAACTGGCATCATTAGCCAAAGGATCTACTCAAGTTGACACCTGGGTGCTCGCAGCACAACTCCAGTAGACTTTGATAGCTTTCTTGCTTTCTGGTATGACAAGACGCTCCCAGCCGGGCGCGGTGGGTCACGTCTGTAATCCTAGCACTCTGGGAGGCAGAGGTAGGTGGATTGTTTGAGCTCAGGAGTTCTAGACCAGCCTGAGCAAGAGTGAGACCCCATCTCTACTAAAAATAGAAATTAATTGGCCAACTAAAAATATATATAAAACATTAGCCGGGCATGGTGGCACATGCCTGTAGTCCCAGCTACCCGCGAGGCTGAGGCAGGAGGATTGCTTGAGCCCAGGAGTTGGAGGTTGCTGTGAGCTAGGCCGACGCCATGGCACTCTAGCCCAGGCAAGAGTGAGACTCTGTCTCAAAAAAAAAAAAAAAAAGACGCTCTAGGGTCTTCTTACACATTTTCTGCCCAAGAAATCAGCCATTTCTCCAGTAAGTGTAGGTTCCTTTCAATGAGAATGGTATTTAGATACCATACTTTTTGTGCTAGAGATGCTCTTTGCTACCTGGAGGACCATTGTTTTCAATCTTTTCAGTTATTAGACCTATCATAAGTGCATAATGATATTTCTGATTTAAAATCAAAACTACCATATTTTTAACTCAACCACATAAATTTTACATCTGTATCTCCTTTCAGCCATGCCCAAAACTTTATTTCTCAATATAATTATCTATTGCATTTATTTCCACAATACATACACAATAGTCTCAAAATAACGATGCCAATGTAACTACCCAAAACTCAACTACTGAAAACAGTTTGGCTGGGTGTGGTGGCTCACATCTGTAAATCCCAGCTCCTTTGGGAGGCCAACAAGGGAGGATCACTTGAGGCCAGGAGTTTAAGACCAGCCTGGGCAACAAAGTGAGAGCCCCGTCTCCACACAGTATAGTAGTAGGGCGTGGTGGGGTGTGCCTGTAGTCCCAGCTACTCGGGAGGATCACTTCAGCCCAGGAATTCAAGGTTATAGTGAGCTATGATTACATCACTGCACTCTAGTATTGGACACTTTAATAATCTTTATGATAACGGAAAAAAAAATCTAAGTAGAATACAAATAAGGAAAAAAGGACCTCAATGCTGTATCTAATAGACACACACAGAATATTCCAACAACCTCAGCAGAACACATTCTTGTTGGTTGGGTGAGGTGGCTCATGCCTGTCATCCTAGCACTGTGGGAGGCTGAGATAGGAGAATGGCTTGAGCTGAGGAGTTCAAGACCAGCCTGAGCAAGAATGAGATCCTGTCTCTAAAAATAATAAAAAAAATTACCTTCCTGTCAAGTGCAAATGGATTATTATCCAGGATAGACCATGGACCATATGTTGGAAAATAATTCTCCATAAATTTTAAAGGATTAAAATTATACAAAGTAACTTCCCTGATGAAAGTGAATTAATACAAAGTAGACTGGAAATTAAAAAGAGAAGGAAAACTAGAAGTAGACTAAATACATGGAAATAAAACAATCCTAAACAACAAATGGATGGAAGAGGAAGTCGCTAAGGAAATCAGGAAAAACTTTGAGACAAATGAAAATGAATATACAACACCAAAACTTACAGGATCCAGCAAAAGCAGTGCTCAGAGGGCAATTTTCAGCTGTAAATGCCTACATTAAAGGAGAAGGATGATCTCAAGTCAAGAATCTAACTTTACAACATAAGGAACTAAAGAACTAACAGTAAATGAAAACTAAAGCCAGCAGAAGGACAAAAATAACAGAGGCTAGAACATAGTTAATTGAAACACAGGGTGAAAAACAACAGAGATAATCAACAAAACCAAAAGTTGGTCATTTGAAAATATCAACGAAACTGACAAACCTTTAGCTAGGCTAAGCGAAAAAGAGGAGACACAAATAACTAAAATCTGAAATGAAAGTAAAGACATAAACATTGACCTTACAGAAATGAAGAGGATTCTAAGAGAATATTGTGAAAAACTGTATGCAAACAAATGAGATGATCTAGAGATAAAATGGATAAATTCTAACAAATGGCAAAGATTCCCTCTTCGACCAAATTCTAGCCAGGTTCCACTGATCCCGCTTCTCAACAAGGCTTCAACTTTGGCCTATAAAAACTTGACTGAAATATTAACACAGTGTCTAACAGCTCCAGGCCACATCCCCAGGATGACCCTGGCTCCTCTGAAAGTGCCTGCCTGAGAACACTCAAGGCTGCTGAGACTTCACTGCTTGTTCCAGCTAACACCGCAAGTGACATCCCGTGTCCCAGGCTCTGTGGGAGGGCAGGAGCCTAACTTTGATAAGCACCAGTCAACAAACCCAGATAGCTTTCACATGGAACAATCCTGCTTCCCACTTTTTGTAATATTTCACTTCTCTGACTCTACTAACCACCGCCCCACTCACCCTCCCTCCTACTTCCTCATTCTTTCTTAAAAATGCCCAGTCACCTCTGTGCAAATCTAAGTTGAGTTCAGTTCATGCTGGACTATTTTGCCTATTATAATAGTATATATTACTAATTAAAATCTGTCCTTACCACTTTAACTGGTATCCAGCTTTATCTCTGATAGAAACACACAAATTAACAAAAGTGACTCAAGAAGAAACTCTCAATACCTTTCTAACAAGGACAGACATTCCTACTACCCGCAGTGAGCTTCATTTGTACTTACTGCCACCACTCCCTGTCCCTTGCATCATCACCTGAGCTCCGCCTCCATGAAAACCTGTCCACTGTGCCAAAAAAGCTGGGGACCCTGCTCCAAAGAACTCTAGCTCCTTTGTGGTGGAGAATGGAATTCAGAAACAGGTTCCCAGGTTTGCTCGTTCTACTGAGAAGTATCATTGTGGCCAGGGTGTGGGGGAAGGGAAGGGGGACCTCAGCTTTAGAGAAATGATCAATTCCAGGTCTGGGCCAGGGAGAGTTCGAGATAAGGCTGAATGATCTTTTTGTTCCACAAAGTGAAGAAGTGCTCAAAAAATTATGGGGGCATGTTAAAGACACAAAAGCCAGCTTTAAAGGGCTAAATCAGGGACAATTTGAATATCAAAATATATAATGATAATAAAAGATTATGACTCATGGATCTTTACTAAGTCTCAAAGTATCTCCATGCAAGTTATTCACTTATTATAAGGGAGAAAAGTTGACAGTAGAGAGGTATGGCAAAAAAAACCCTTAACCAAAGTGATCAAAGTTATAAAATAACAAGACAAATTGAAATTTTGTGCTACCTGATAGGATCCAAAAAGAATAACAGCAATGCTTCTGTGATATTACTGCCAAAGAAGCATAATTCAGATTTGATCATGAAGAAACAGCAGACAAACCCCAGCTGATGTTTAAAAACTAAAACAAAAACAAAAACATAGGCCTTTATTCTTCAAGTGTTAAGATTATGAAGTTCAAGGAAAAACTGAGGAACTGTCTGCAGCCCAAAGGGTGACTAAAGAAACATAACTAAATGAACTCAAATAGTTCAGGGAACAAAATTCTTTGCACTGTGCTTGCAACTTTTATGTATGTTTGAGATTATTTCTAAATAAATAAATTAGGATAACCTTAAAGCCAAATAATGATAATATAATATAGGAAAATTACAGAAAATTACCCACACCTTAGGTCAAAAAATACAAAAATTATAAATTTTGAGCTACACATGTATTTTTTAAAAATTCATCAATCAGAAACATTTGTCCCAGAAATGCAAGAATGGTTGCATTCTGTACATCATAAGAATTAGTGTTATTATAGCAAACTATACTCCCAGATGCCAAATTTACAGGGTTAAAATAATTAACCATATTGGCAGATGAATAAAGAATATATGACAAATTCCATTTCTATAAACATCTCTAAGCAAGGTAGAAATAAAAGGAAAGTTAAATAACTCAATAAAAGGTGTTTATGGGGAAAAAACTAATAGCAAACATGACAACTGATGGCAAAACTTTAAAAATTATTCCTTTTAAAATCAAGAATAAGGAATCAGAAACATCATTGAGGGCTGTTGTAACTACTTCTTTTCAATAATGTATTGCATTTCCAGCCAATGCAAAAAATACAAAACTAAAACAAATGGTATAAGAATTGAAAAAGAAGAAGAAAAACTGATATTATGATGCTGCAGAATTATAATAGTATGGTATTGGCAAATGGATAGCAAATAAACTAATTCAGTCCTGGTCATGTATTTATATATGAGGCACTGCTGTGTAACACAGAGGGTGTTATAAATCAGTTTGGAAAGAATAAACTATGAAAAAAATTGGTGCCACGCTATCCATACAGGAAAAATAACAACATACCATACACAAAAATAGATCAAAATCATAAAGATCAAAACTTTGAATACAGAAGAAAATTGGAAAATATCATCAATACAAGGATTAGAGAGAATTTTTTAAAGCACTATACCAAAAAATATCCCTTTATACATTGATGATTGTGAGACATTAAAATCAAATCATCTGCTGACTAAAAATAAAAAGTGAAAATGTGGAAAATGAAAATCTGGAGGCAAGTATTTGCACTAGATTACCATACACAGTGGATTAATATGCAGACCATATAAAAAATGAAAAAGGTCTAACAAATGTGAAGCCTGATGGTTGTGAACTAAAATCCTCAACCCCTACCGGCTGACTGAATGGACCCCCTCGTGGCCAGAGGAATATTCAAGGGCAAAGTTGCCTGCCAGGAGGAGGGAGGTCAGACAGGCCTTATCATGCCCCCCTCCCTTCTTGGAGACTTCCTTTGTAACCCATTAATAGGCCTGAGGGTATGCAAGACAAACCTGCAGGCCTTCTATTTGCAACAAATGGTGGCTTACCTCTGGTAAACAGTTTATGTTAAAACATTCCACCTCTTTAGACAAAGCTTCATGTCTTTAGCCAATTACAATCTAAAGAATCTTTAAACCCACCTATAACCTGTAAGCCCCCGCTTCGAGATGGCCCTCCTTTTTGGGCCAAACCAATGTATACCTCCCACACATTGATTGATGGCTTTACCCATAACCCTTGTCTCTAAAATGTATAAAAACCAAACTGTAACCCAGCCACAGCGAGTCCACTTGCCCAAGGCCTCTGGCAGTGGCTCCCGGTCATGGTCCTCAAATTTGGCTCAGAATAAATCTCTTTAAAATTATTTTACAGAGTTTGGATTTTTTCCGTTAACATGGTTCAAAAATAAGGAAGTGAGTGCAAAAGACAGGAAAATGCTTAACCTCACACTAGTCACCAAAAGGTGCAAGTTAACATCATAATAAATTATTACTACCTACCCACCATAATGGCTGAAAAATGTGATCACCAAGATGCAGACTTTTTTTCAGTAGTTGGTTTGCTCTATTATTACAGTTTCTGATTCTTTTTTTGAAATTAAATTTGATGTTTCCACACTTCGGTTTTTTTAATGCAAGAGAAAAAAAAAGATACTGAAAAGGACAAGTGTCCACAAGGGGTGGGAGAATTGGCCAAAAAACTCACCAAACAAAAACACCAACCTACATAAAATGTTGCTGGAAGCGTAAGTTGACACAAGCTCAAGAGCAATTTGGCAAGACCCCCGGATTGCTCTGTTTGTTTCTGGCTGGAGGAACTCTCAACACATGTGCCTAAGGAAGTCCTTGTACACTGCCTGCAAATAGCAAAGAACTGGAAAGAACTGAACTGTCTAGCCATTAGGTGTTAGGATGGAAAGCCTGGTAGATGCTCCAGCACAGGTGGAAAAAGATTTCTCACACAGAGAGTAAGGCATAAGAAAGTAAAAAAAAAAAATAATTTTTATCCTTTAGAAGGACAGAGAGAATGAGAGAGAAAGGGGCTAGGGAAGACAGACAGCAGGGAGACAGTGTGGCATCCCAAAGAAAGAGAAGAAGGGAGATGCTAGCAGCAAGGCCACATGTGTTGCTGCTTTTATGGGGACAAAGAGAAAAATATTAATTGTTGTAGAGTTAGCAGGTAGCTGTAAGATCTTTGTTTCTTCTGTTGCGGGAGACTTGGTTATCTCTGAGATGTAGTCAGCCTTATCACAGGGAAATGTTGGTTGTGTCACTGAAATACAGTTTTGGGCAAGAATGGGAAGACCTGGAGTTTACCCCCAGGTGTCCGTGCAGGAGCTTCTCAGGAACTCCTTTCAGCTATAGAAACAGATTCTAAAAACTTTGAGCCAGTGAATGTAAAGAGAAAGATTTACATTTCCTTTGTGACAACAGAGTCTCTGCAGGGTGCCTGCTAGCTAGGGAGAGAAATGGCAAAGAGTAGGGAGGGTTCAAGATTGATCTTTAGGTATTATTAGAAAATTATAGGATCAGATATTTTCCTGTTATTTCAACAAGGCCACCCCATCATTAGGAAATAGTTAAACGAAGGCCCGTGGAATTACAATCAAAACAAATAAATCAGATTTTGTATGTATCTACATGGCTAAATCTGAAAAACATAATGGTGACTGAAACAGCAAGTTGCAAAAGGATACCATATAATCCCACTTATATACATAGTGAGAAAAGCGTAGGAGTATGTTTGCCTGAGCTATAGCTGGCAATAGGTGCTGGGTAATAATTTTCACCAAACAGGTAAAAATCCCAAGTATTAGAGCACAAAAGGAGAGAGCAGTCAGTGAGGTAACGGAACCAGTAGGTAGGAGATATGTATACACAGAAATAAAATGCGGCCCATGAAAATAATGCCTTTAAGGCATTTCTCTAAGGCCAACTATAGTCCACTGATGAAATAAATGCAAATTCCATACCTGTAGCCTCAGGGCCACTTGTGGCCTTCTGGATCCTTGAGTGCTGCCTTTTGACTGAATCCAAGTTTTACAGAACAAATCCTTTTAATAAACACATTTGTTCTGTTAGGTTTGGATTGGTCCAGGGACTCTGCACTTGGGGATTTGAAGGGCCACATGTGGCCTTCAGGCCACAGGTTCTCCACCCTTTCACTCACTGAATAAAATACATATTGAACTCTACAAATAGCATTTGCTACATGTTATGCAGGAATACATGAGACCATGAACACTTTTCTTCTGGCTCATTTAATCCATAAAACAACTATGATATAGTTACTATTTTCCCCATTTTACAGATAAAGTAACTGAGATTCAAAGACCTTAAAACCTACTTCTAAATCACCATGCATGACAAATTAGCATATTCAAATTTGAGCCATATTCAAATTGAGTTTGGCAACTCCAAAATCCATACACTTCACTATATTACGATGCTCTCTCAAAGCTCTTCTACCTAACTTTCCTACTCTACCAGATTTTCTCATAAAACTACACAATGGAGTCAGACTAAAAGAATATAGTCATAACTTTTGAACCAGTAATTTTTCTTCTAGGAATAATTTAGAACAAGAAAATTAAAGAAAAGAAAAATTAAAAAAAAAAAAAAAGTAGCAACTCCAAAGGAGAATAAAAACAAACCTAAAAAAATTTTTAAAGAACAAATTAACAACTAAAATCCTCCACACCAAGGACAATGCCAACAACTTTACATAAACTGCCATATCTAATTATCACACTGGCACACAAAATATAGGCACAAGCAGCCCACTTTACAGGTCAGGAAATGTCTGTATACAAGCTAAGGGACCTACCTAAATTCCTATAGGAGTTACAGTGGAGCTAGGATCTGAACTCAGTCTGATTCCCAGACATATATTTATTTCTGTCCACTTGATTGGAAGGAATCCTCTTGTGTGTATGTATAGACAGGCACACATACACACAAGCAAAACAACTTTTACAAAACATTTACCTTAATAATCTTTGGGAAAACTTTTTTTAAAGAGGCTGCTTTTAAGTCATGAAATTTTCTCATAACCCACAATTTAAAACACAATGCTTAACTGCTTCAAAAATGGTATTTATTACAACTATAGTAGTAAAAAGAAAAATGAAAAAACTAAATGGAACTAATCAGTCAGCAACAGAGCTGAATAATAATTATGAATATTGAAAATTGTTATCTGGAGAAAATACATTACGTTCATTACTTGGAACCATGCATAATGTTTACACAGGAAATATAGAAAAATAAAATAGTTAAGGTAATAAGGATATAGACAATTACATTTTTATTCTTAATTTTTATGAAGACTTTTATTTTTCTTTACAAACTCAGTTAAGAAACCAGGTAATAGCTACTTTGCTTTTATTTCTTTGTACCAAAACATTTACTTATGTGTTCCTTCTTGCACAAACGGTTCCAGATCACAGTTTTCCAATTAGTTTACTAAGCTAGCAAATTTTTATAGCAAAAAAAGTAAAAGTAAAAGCTCCTCTAATCTGTTTGTAAATGAAAACTTGGAACCGAATAACAACACAATATTAAAAGAACAAAGCTTTGCAAACACGTCTTAAAGCTACACACATTTAGAAAATATGCTCCCTGGGTCCCCCTTCCCCTACCCGTGGAGCATTGTGCTTTTTGGGTCTCAGACCCTTGTCCCAGGAGTTCCTCTGAATCCTTTTCAGATTTCAAGAGGATGGGGCTGGGGCTGGGCCACTAGCCTCAGGTCTGGCCCGCTTCTCCTCATCTGCCAAAGCCTCACAGTACTGCGCCGGCCAGTCCTTGGGGTCTTGATTATGGACTTTGGCCACAAATTTAAGAACTTTCATTTTGCTCGTTTCCAGGTTGGTTCGGGGGCCCCACTGGAATTCGTAGTCTACAGGGTCGGTGTGGGGTATCCGCCGGTACTCCAGATAACGCTGTCGCACAAAGTCTTCAGTAATGAGTTTCTTTGGGTCTCCAAATACTAAATGCTTCTTGGTGGGGTACACCCCTAACCGCCGCAGAAAGTCCCAGACTTCAGTCTCTTTGATGGTGTTGCCCTTCATAAAGATGAGCCCTAAAACAATCATCAGCAGGCCAGTGGTGGGCGTCCCTTGATCACCTCTCACCTCGGCATCCTCCTCCACGGGTTCCAGGGTGTTGATCAGGATGTAGCTGTTGCTCTTGGGTTCAAGTTCCACCAGCTTGTACCCAAAGACGTACTGGAGGCGCTCGTTAGCCAATTTGAGAAGGTCCAGGAAGATGTCCTTGTAGTCTCCAATGACGTGCTTCAGTATGTCTGTCCGCTTGATGGGAATCTTCTTCTGGTCCTTAATCAGCAAGAACTGCACCAGTTCGGCCACCTTGAGCTCCAGCTGCTTCTGGGTCCTGGGCCCCACGGTGGGGGCGGCCCGGGCCTGGCGGGCGCCCTGAGACGAGGTGCCCAGGGCCTCCTGCGAGCCGCCCGGCCCGCGGGACGTGCTCGGGGCCTCGTCGGCGACGCCGCCTCTGGAGGCTCGGGTGTCTCCGTCGCGCCTCCTGTCTCTGTCCCTCTCGTCCTGGGCGCTAGAGCGGCCCCGGCTCCTCGGTTTTTGCAGCATGTCACCGGACGGGGGTACTGGCACAGACTCTAGCAGGCGGGCGGGGCCCTCGCCGTAACGGCGCGGCTGCGGCTGGGACTGCGAGTCGGCACGAGGTACGCCTGCGCGGCCCTGGGCGGGGCTGCAGGAGACGCGCGGTGCGACGCCAGAGACTGCGCGTTGCGTCACAAAGGCTGCGCGATGCGTCACAAAGGCTGCGCGATGCGTCACTAGGGCTGCGAGTTGCGCCTGCGCGGCAGCAGTGGATATGAGAACGGAGTTTTTTCAGTAGTCCTGCGGGTCGGAGCAATGGTTTTTAAATTATAATTGTGTTCATACCAAACCATACTAACAGAGAAGAACCGAACTCCTAAACAAGTGTGCGGCTAAACTCAGGACCACACAGGCAAGTTTTACTGACAGTATTAAGAGTTCTTAATTCGGGTCCATTCGTAAAGGGAGGGACCTCAAAGGCTGAATGTTTGAGAAAAATAAAGGTGAAGAGGAAGGTGAGACCGTGGGAGGTAAAGCAAAAACAGTAATTTCTACACAAAACATAGAAGGACATAAAAGACCCAGGGGACTCCTCGTTTCGTCCCTTCCCTCGCGCACGTTCATACCCTCCTAACTAACCGCTAGTTAGTTCTCCAACGTCCCTTGGAGCCCGTTAGAAACGAATGTTTGATAAAGCAGGCTTTCCTTGCAAGCAAGACTTATTCCTTCACAGTATTCCCGAATTTATATTCCCTGCGTTAAACTCCATCAGCTAGACAACTACAAGAAAACCATGACTCAAAGCAAGTGTCTAAAATGTTTTAAATGAGTTTATCTTTTGGAAAACATGCTCATGGAAACTGCCTGGTGCTCACAACCGCAGTTTTAGCACAAATGGGTAAGAGGAATACTACAAAGAAATGTGCTCTCTCAGGAGACTTCCATTTAATTTTGGGCATCGCTGATCAAGAATTGCAATAATGTGGATCTGTTAAATTTCTTAATTCTTAATATATTAGCTTTAGGGCTCAATAAGAAAGAAAGAACACAGGGTTATTATCCTTCATAATCTGTGATGTGTGCAGTGTGTATATATATTTTAATTGTGCAACTCTAATAGCCAAAATGAGTCATTTCATTAACTCGAACCATCAGCAATCTGCTGCCATTACTACTACAGATCTTAGCAAATGTTTTTCTTCACTATTTATTGATTTGCAAAAAAGACACTGAATTTCCCTCTGTCTTTTTAAAGCTACCCAGCAAGTGGATAAACGCTTCAAAGAATCAAATCATGGCCAGGCGCGGTGGCTCACGCCTGTAATCCTAGCACTCTGGGAGGCCAAGGTGGGCGGATTGCTCAAGGTCAGGAGTTGGAAACCAGCCTGAGCGAGACCCCGCCTCTACTAAAAATAGAAAGAAATTACTTGACCAACAAAAAATATATATACAAAAAATTAGCCGGGCATGGTGGCCACATGCCTGTAGTCCCAGCTACTCAGGAGGCTGAGGCAGTAGGATCTCTTTAGCCCAGGAGATTGAGGTTGCTATGAGCTGATGCCATGGCACTCACTGTAGCCTGGGGCAACAAAGTGAGACTGTCTCAAAAAAAAAAAAAAAAAAAGAACCAAATCAAAGTGAGTTCCTCTTTAATGCAAATATATTCAAAGGAAAGCAATTCAGAACACATTATTTGAATAGCATCAAACACAACCATATTAAAATTCCCTTAAATGTTAGTAGCATAACATTTTTGTTTATAATTCAATATAAAAATGCAATCTGATAACGGCATTGGAATTGTAATGCTAAGTGTAAAATCAGATTCCATGTTGTGATGCTAGTATGCAAAAATCTGGTATGCTATGAGTAATAACTTTCTATTCCACACAAGTTCCAATTATATCTTCAAGCATCATTCTTAATGACAGAGGCCTACTAAGAAAAACAAATATATTATCAAGGCATTCAGGAGAAAATTCATCTGTTTCGGTTTCCTTGCAAATTAAAATTTGGACGTAAGTTCAGAGAAGCCTCCTGCAATCTAGAATCTGCAAAAGGTCCCTCCAGAAGGATCATTTACACCTTGAGCTAAAAAATTTCAGCAACCAAGAGATAAGGTAAAATTGGAAAATAAGGTGAAAGCTGTTTTCAACAATTGGGCTGGTTTTCAATGTCTTTTTCTTGCTAAGGTATACAAAGTTACCAAGCAGCCCCACTGGTCAGGCTATCCCAGTACCGGTATGAAAATCATCACCCTTACCCAGATAGCAGATTGTCATTACTCAAAATAGATGAGAAAAAATACCAATTTTAAGTCTCAGAACACCTTTCTACACTCTGTCCAGAGGAATGCAGGTGAAATTGACACTGGAAGCCATGGATGTCTGGAAAGAAACTGTGATAATAACAACACTACCACTAATAACAGTAACTATAAAAAACAGCAGCTAATGATCATGTGGTAGTCCTCCCCATATTTGCGGTTTTGCTTTCCATGGTTTTAGTTACCTGCCATACTGAAAAAATACTAAGATATTCTGAGAATGAGACCACACTCACCTAATTTTTATTACAGCATATTGTCACAATTTTTCAATTTTATTAGTTGTTGTTAATCTCTACTGTGCCTAATTTATAAATTAATCTTCATCACAGGTATGTGTGTATAGGAAAAACACAGTACATATAGGGTTTGGTACTATCCACAGTTTCAGGCATCGATTGAGGGTCTTGGAACATATCCCCTGCAAATAATGGGGGACTACTGTACAAAGGTAACTGTGGGTCAGCCCTTATTCCAAGTGGTTTATAGGTATTACTTCATTTAATCCCCACAACAAGTCTACGAGGCATGTCAATTTTTTATGTTTCTCTTCCCAAAAATGAAGAAACAGGCACAGAGAACATTAATTGTTTTGAGATCCTACAGCAAGTAAGTGGTAGATCTGTGATCTAAACTCAGGCAATTTGCTTCCAGAGACGGTGCTCTTAACTGTATGCTAGTTAAGAGCAAAACACCGACATGGTGTCCTTGAAAAAGTAAGAGCTTTGGAATCACAGGGACTGAGATTAGAAGCCTGTATGACACTGGGAAAGCTACTGACATTCCCAAGTTTCAGTTTCCAAGTCAACAAAATGAGAGTTCTGATCCTGGCTTCAGGGGAGAGTGAGATTGGTTTGCCAAGTACCTAGCAAAGGGCCTGGCAGGGCAGCTGGTAACAATTTGCTTGTTTCCAGAGGGTTTCTGTTATGGAAAATATTTGAGAACTATGCAGAGTTGTATGTAGTATAGGGGAAGCAACATTTTAGCCTCAAAGGGTCCTGGCTGGACCTGAGAATTAAATTGACATAAAATAGATTAACAGGAGGAAAGCATACAAATTTAAGTTCTGTGGGACATAGCAACCCTCAAAGGGAAACAAAGGCCCAAAGACGTGGCAAAACCTACATACTTTTGTATTTCCTTGAATGAAGAGAGGTAATTATGGGAAAAGTAACTAAGTTATGTGAGGAGGCTAAAGGAAGATTATTTTTACTATGTTGTTTGTATAGAATTTTCTTAGCTATGACTCTCCATTGAGTAATATTTCTTTTCTCCTGGTACACTGAAGACATCTTTCTTTCACATGAGAGTTTTATCTCCTGTTTTTCAGGAAGAAAAGAGGGGATTAGAATGCCCTTAATTGCATCTGCAATTTTTCAAGTGTCTTTAGCTCAAATTAATCCATATGCCAAAGTGGCATATTTGGGGCAGCATATTATGCCATCTTTCAGTAGAATGATGAGAAAAATTTTGACTGCAGTGAAACACACATGCACATAAAAATCAGGAAAAGGTGTGGAAAGAAATAACAATATCAATGTGCTATTAAAATTCTTTCTTTCTTTTTTTTTAGAGACAGGGTCTCACTCTGTCACCCAGGCTGGAGTGCAGTGGCACAATCATAACTCACTGTAACCTCAAACTCCTGGCCTCAATTGATCCTCCCACCTCAGCCTCTTAAAGTGCTAGGATTACAGGCATGAGTCACTGTGCCCAGCCAGTTATTTTCTTTTATAAATAAAATTCAATTCTGATTTTCTTGCTTGAGAGACAAATGAAAAATATATTTTCAATGAAGTTTAACTTCACAGTGACACCGTGCCACCGCAGTTATACACAGTAAAATGTTCAATAAATTCAGTGTGATCTGAATATGGCATCTGTGACTTGCTGTTCAGGCAGTGATGTAACAAAGACAAGTGATTAAAAAAGAAAAACATTTTCAAACGCTTTATGTTAATGACCTTCATGCTTTTTGTTACTATGCCCAAGGGGGGACAAATTCTTTGAGGAAAAAACTGAACTAAGATTTCAAGTGTATTGAACAAGGAAATGCCTACTACCCTTTGCTCCTTAGATGTCTCTAAGTAATTAAATGCTTTATTTTATCTCCTTAGTAGGAAATGCCTGCCAAGAAACACTAATCATTTTTATTATCTACTAGATTCTCTTCATTCACTGGTATTTCTTGTAAATCCAGAAGAAGGCTTTAATATTCTGACAGCAACACAGTGCTGAAAGCAGGTGAGGACTTTTGGGGAAGAAAGGCTATGGTCAAAGCATGCAGCCACCAAATATGAGCAGTGGAAGAAAGTGGGACAGTGTGCAGCACGTTAGCAAGGGAGTTTGGAGGCAAATACTATTTGGGTGGGTAGATGGGAGGAAAGCAATCCAGATGTTTTAATGGTTGCAGTAAAACCTCTAGTGTCCACTCATTTGTAATAGTTGTATACACTCATTCTTAGCAAAAATCCTTCCTGCTTAGATAACATGGTAGACTTCCTGATAACATTTTGTCCATTATAAATGAATACTTTGATTCAGCAGCAACAGAGCTTTCCTTTGCAGGTGGAAGGGGTGACGAGGTCAGCCTTCATAAGATAGTGCTTTCCAAGCACTGCTGCCATTTGGCCCAGAAGCCTCTTTTTAGACTCTCTTTTCAAGAAATATAAATCTTCCAGTTACCCAGGGCCCTTATAAAAATCATTAAGCTCTATTAGGTTGTAAAATTGTAAACCTACAAGGTCTTAATAGTGGCCAATAAGATTCTTTTTGTTTGCTTGGTTTCTTCCCCCATGTTCTGCAGCCTTTCCCTTCAGGAACTGCCTCTTCCCATATCTAGGAGACCTTGGTTAGGGCACTGCCTTCCTTTCTTGAGTGTGCATGAATCAGGCCAGACACAGTGACTGGTTCAGAACTGGTTCAGTTAGTATGCTTTCAGGGAATTCATACAGGTTCTCTTTCCTTCCTCTGAGCTAACAAGCTGAGGGGGTGATGTAAGCGTAGCCATCTTTCCCATTGCTTGGGAATAACCTGCCTCATCATGGTGAACCCATCTAAAAAGAGATCTAAGAGATGAACAACCAATCCTAATGCTGCCCTTTGAATCCTGAATCCTGAGTTTAAGGCTGGACTCCTAGAGATTGCTAGTTATCAGAACATCTCCTTTTGCCTAATTTGCTTTAAGGTGGCTCCTGTCACTTGAAAGTGAACAAACTCTGGCTAAATTGGTAGCCAAACTTAATATGCAGGGGAAATGATTACGAAGGAATGAGCCTTTGTTTCACAGTAATGGAGCTAGAGAAGGTTAATATTACCTAGGAGGATTGCTGATTGTAATGAGAGGTGAGATGAATACAATTTGACATTTTTGTTATGTTTCTTTGCAATGTTCTGTGCTTGAGAAACATGCTTACAATTTTAGTTACTGGCAATACGCGCAAGGGAGAGACAAATCATAAAGGACTGTGTTTTACTGTATGGCATATACAAATGAGCTAATCTGGTGATTTACCTCTGAAGAAAGGGGTTTCAGACAACGTGGAATATACCTTAAAGCATCTGCTACTCTAGAGTAGCTGTGTTCTCCATATCAAACCCAAAGTATTTTCCCACTGGCTACACCATGTGAGATGACAGAACTTCATTCTTGTAGAATATGCTTTAGCCTAAAGCACAAGTATACCCACAAAGCAAGGGCACCAAGAAGGTGAATGGCGGACAAAGCTAATACCCAGATAGGGATAATGCAGATAGGTTTTGAGAAAACTGAACACACTGAAATGGAAAAAAGTAAACAAAAAGAATTAGAGAAAAACGTAAAGATGCTCAAGGCAGACTAGAAGGAGTCCATGTGTGCATAACTGCTGGCTGTCCTGAGGGAGATGACAATCATAGACAGAGGTGACTGCAGGAACCCTGGGGAGATGGCGGGTTTATGCAGGCCCCACATCTCTGGTCCCCTCTCGTTCCTGGCTCCCTCCCTTTGACTATCAACCAGAACGATCACGCTTTCAAGGTTGGAGGGTAATCAGAGGCTATGGGTTCTTCAAGATCTGCAGAGGGGTGAGCCAGTACAGGGATCCTTCTTCCCTGAGATACCAGTGAGGGCAAAGGTATTTCATGAGGATGAGAGCTTGTCCTTCCGAAGGCCTGGAAAGACCAAAGATTGTGTGGTCTGAGCTGGCAGAAGCCTGTGTGTTAATTCTGAGAGAGTTCACAGCTGTGTCATTTCTTAGGCTAGTTAGTCCTTCAAAAGCCTGTCCCAGGTTGTTGTCCAGTTCCCCTCAGGGGGAACCTCACAGACAGGTAAAATGCCATCAGGCCTTGAGGTTTGGAGAGACAGCAGTTTATCTATAAGGCCTGGACTCTAAGAGGCTTCTTCATAGTGCTTTAGCACAGTGGTCTCCAACCTTTGGGCACCAGGGACCAGTTTCATGGAAGACAATTTTTCCCTACAGACCAGGGGGCAGGGTGGGATGGTTTCAGAATGATTTAAGCTAATGACATTTATTGTGCACTTTATTATTACTACATTGTCACTTGCTACTTACTGATAGCGTTTTGATATGAGTGTGCAAGCAATTGATTATGGTCTCTGTGCAGTCAAACCTCTCTGCTAATGATAATCTATATTTGCAGCTGCTCCCCAGTGCTAGCATCACTTCCTCAGCTCCACCTCAGATCATCAGGCATTAGATTCTCAAAAGGAGCGTGCAACCTAGATCCCTCACATGTGCAGTTTACAGTAGGGTTTGCACTCCTATGAGAATCTAATGCTGCTGCTGATCTGACAGGAGGCGGAGTGATACAAGTGATGGGGGGATTGGCTGTAAATACAGATGAAGCTTCCCTTGCTTGCCCACCGTTCACCTCCTGGTGTGTGGCGCAGTTCCTAATAGGCCATGGACCAGTACCAGACCACGGCCTGGGGGTTGGGGACTGCAGCTTTGGCAGGCATGTAAACAGTGTGCCCTTTAATTCACTGCAGCCCATAAAAGCAAAATCTGCCTGACCTTTTGCCACTTGCCAGTCCAGTACTTTTCCAGTGACTCCCAGCAACACAATCTGTGGAGTAATGGGAGAATCACAAAACTGCACAAGTAAAATAAGAAAAATTATAACTCATTAAAGATGATCCAAGAACTTGAAGAAGAAGAAGCAATAAAACAAATCTTTAGCTACACTAAGAAAGAAAGAACATCCAAATAAAATCAGAATGAAAAAGGGGACATCACTACCAACCTTTGAGAAATAAAAAAGTTGACAAGGAAATACTGTGAGCAAGGAACAACTGTATGCCAACAAATTGGATAAATTAGAATAATTGAAAAATTCCAAGAAGATAGATTAATGAAATTTATTTAAAAATAAACAAAACATGAATAGACCTCCAACAAAGAAACAGATTGAATTAGTAATTTTCAAAGCTTCAATAAAGAAAACCCAGGTCTAGATGGCTTCACAGTGAAATCTACCAAACAGTTAAAGAAGAATTAAGACCTACCCTTGACAAAATTTTCCAGAAAATTCAAAGAGGGACCAATTCCTAACTCATTCTATAAATCAAATATTAGTAACAAAACCAAAAGCATCACAAACAAAACAACAAACATAATGAAGATGTAAAAATCATTATCAAAATACTACCAAACCAAATCTAGCAATATGTGAAAAGGATTATATACCATGACCAAATGGACTCTATTCCAGGAACACGGGGGGTGGGGGAGGATGGGGGGAGGTTATTATCAGAAATATCAATTAATGTAATGCACAAAAGAATAAAGGACAAAAACACATGATGGTTTCAATAGAGGCAGTAAAAGCATTTGACAAAACCTAACACTTTCATAATATAAATAAACTAAGATTAGAAGGAAACTTCCTCAATATAATAAATGATTTCTATAGAAAAGCTATAGCTAAGATCATACTTAATGGTGAAACACTGAATGTTCTCATGCCAATATCAAGAACAAGAAAAGGATGTCCACTCTCACCACTTCTATTTAACATTGTATTGGAGGTTATAGCTAGGGCAGTTAGTCAAGAAAATGAAATCAAAGGCATCCAGATTGGAAAAGAAGTAGTAAAATTATCTCTTCATAGATGACATGATCTTACATGTAGAAAATCCCAAGGAATCCACTAAATAATATTAGAGCTAATAAACAAGTTCAGGAAGGTTACAGAATACAAGATCAAGATACAAAAATTAACTATTTCCATGCACTTGCAATGAATAGTCTGGAAATGAAATTAAGAAAACAGTTCCATCATAATAGCATTAAAAAGACTAAAACAGGAATAAATTTGATAAAAGGAGTACAAAATTTATACTCTGAAAACTATACATTGAAATAAATCGAAGACCTAAATAAATGAAAAAACATCACAATAACATGTCTGTGGATCAATAGACTTAAAATGTCAGTACTACCTAAATTGATCTAAAGATTCAAGACAATCCCTACCAAAATAACAGCTGAGTTTTTTGGTTTTTTTATAGGAATTGACAAGCTGATCCTAAAATTCATATGGAAATGAAAGGGACCCAGAATAGCCAAAATAATCCTGAAGAAGAAGAAAATTGAAGTACTCACACTTCCTGATTTCAAAACTTACTACAACTCTATAGTAATGAAGGCAGGAGTAAGGCATAAGCACAGACATACTACTAAGGGCTAAACTTCCCCCCCTTCCCCCAATTCATATGTTTAAATCCCGAACCTTAGTATCTCAGACTATAACTGTATTTGGAGATAAAGTCTGTAAATGGATTAAGTTAAAATGAGGCCTTTAGGGTGAGGCCCTAATCCAATAGGACTGGTATCCTTATAAAAAGAGGAAGAAACACCAGCGATGTGTCTGCATGGAGTGAAGGCCATGTGAGAACATGAGAAGTTGGTCATCTGAAAGCCAAGGTGAGAAGCCTTAGGAGAAACCAAACATGCTGACTTCTTGATCTGAGACTTGTAGCCTCTAGAACTGTGAGAAAATAAATTTCAATTGTTTAAGCCACTAGTCTGTGGTATTCTATTATGGTAGGCCTAGCAAACTTAATATACATATACAGCAATGGATTAGAACTGAGAGTCCTGAAATAAAATCATACATATATGGTCAACCAATTTTCAGAATAGAGGGCAAGGTAATTCAATAGGGTAACAACAAATGGTACTGGGATAACTAGATATCTGCATATAAAAGAATGAATTTGAACCCTGACCTCACACCATATACAATATCAACTCCAAATGGATCACAGGCCTAAATGTAAGGCTAAAACTATAAAACTCTTAGAACTACAGGAGTAAATCTTCATGACCTTGGGTTAGGCAATGATCTTTTAGATACAAGACCAAAAGTGCAAGTGATAACTGAGAAGACGGATACATCATCAAAATTAAAAACTTTTGTGTATCAAAGGACACTCTCAGGAAAGTGAAAAGATAATCCATACATTCTAGAAGAAAATATTTGCAAATTATGTATCTGATAAACAACTCTTAACAATGGAATAATAATAAAACATCCAATTTTAAAAATGGGCAAATGATTTGAATGGACATGTGTCCAAAAATATAAGAATATTTCAGCTATAAAAAGGAATGAAGTACTGATACATGCTACAGTTAGATGAACCTTAAAAACATTAAACCACATGAAAGAAACTACTCACAAGAGACCACGTATTGTACACTTCTTTTATGTACAGAGTAGGCAAATTCATATAGGCAGAAAATAGATGTGTGCTTGCCTAGGGCTGGGGTGAGGTGAAAAATGACTGCTAAAGGGTATGAGATTTCTTTTTGGGGTGATGAAAATATAAAATTAGATGATTGCATACTATGTTAAAACATTAAATTTTATACTTTAAACAGGTGTACTTTATAGTATGTTAATTATGTCTCAATAAACCTGTTTAAAAAAATAGAACTTGAAGACAGCCAAGCTTAAAATCTCTAATAAGTATAATGAGATGAAACAATAAAAGAAGAGTAAGCAAAATGAGACCCGTCAAATGGATGCAGTAAGGGTGCTCAGACTTAATGGAGCAACAACAACAAAAAGAATTTTTAATTAAAAAGTTAAACTACAACAGAGGGGAGAGTCTACTGTTAAAACATGATTTCAGTCACTATCAGGAAGCATACTTGTTTATATTTTAGGCAATTAATGAGCATCTTAAAATATGCTGCATGGTTTAAGGAAAGCAGTTACATTTGTACTCTGCCACCAACTTCCTCTGGATCCTGGAAGAAAGTCTTTAACTGGTCAGGTCTCAGCCCCCTCACCTGAAAAAAGACAGGGCTGGGTTGAACAACCTCTTTCAGTTGTAAAATACTGTTATTACCTGAAAGAACTTGAAATTAAAAATCATAGATACCTATTAGAAAGAAAGCAGTCCATCCTGAAAGAAACAGTTCTTAAACACCTAGTTCCTTATTTCTTAGATGTCAGGATGCTAGAGCAACTTGAGTGTCCCAGAGCATCTTGCGGTAAAACAATGAGTTTCCTAACTCGGCTCTTTAAGTGACATAACTCTGTGAATTCTAATAGAACAAATGAAGGTTTCCATTTAAACCTACTCTGTGGGAATGAAACTTTAACAGCGGGAGGAAACTAACTTGAGGAAATTGGGGCTCTGGTTGCTCTGCTGTCTCCTGGAGAGTCATCAGACAAAGGTAGGCTCCAGGGGCTATATAAACAGCCCCAGCCCCAGCATATCCTTGAGATAAGGGCAAAACCAAAGACAGGTCACAAAGTCAATTGTGCAAGCACTGTGATCCAGAGCTTTCAAAACAGACTCTTCCCACTAGTACCTGTTACCTGAAAAAAATCTACCATATTGAAATATATCAACTTGTGAGAAGTGCTTCATAGTGTGATATGTTTAACTCAATATTCACTCAATATTTTGAAAATCTAAGATATTCACAAAAATTCAAAATAACATCTGCAAAGTATGTATAGGTATGTTTACAATAAGTGATTTAAAACTAAATTCTTTCCCCCTATTTTATAGGCAAATTTTTGAATTCCACACAGCACTGAACCAAAGGCAAGGTCTACTGCAGTAAAAAAAACAAAAACAAAAACAAAACAACCAACCAAAAGGAAAAAAAAAAAAAGCTGTTTAAACACACACAATGGATTAATGGATTAGGCAAGCCACACACAATGTGGTGTTCACATGGCTGCTCCTCTGGCCCAACCTTCAAATGGTCTCACCCTGAAGCCATCCATCTCTTTATTAAGCTATGTTCCTCTAATTAAACTGAATTTAGCTCCCACAGTTTCCTAATTATGACAACTGAGAACCATGAGGTATATACAAGAAAATATATAAGGATCATGAAACAATAAAAACTAGCAAGGTAAGGATGATTCAGGTGAGGTATGTCACTCCACTGACCATGGGTTCATTTAGCATAGTCATCTGACTGACCAGATTTAGAAATGCACCTTCTAGAAGCTGCCCATTGGACAGAAAAGGATAATCTTCCTGTAAAATAATAGTAATAGTTTTTTTTTAAGTTAATGTGAACAAATGAATACTGGCCAAAAAAAACTACTTTTAAAAAAACTTTTTTTTTTAATTTATTTTTTTTTATTTCGGCATATTATGGGGGTACAGATTTTAAGGTTTCAATAAATGCCCATTTCCCTCCCCTCCCCCCACAAGTCTGAGTCTCCAGCATGACCATTCCCCAGATGGTGTACATGTCACTCATTATATATGTATATACCCGTCCCCCTCCCCCCTCCCACCTGCCCAATACCCTATTACTGTAGTACCTATGTGACCACTTAGGTGCTGCTCAGTTAATACCAATTTGCTGGTGAGTATATGTGGTGCTTGTTTTTCCATTCTTGGGAAACTTCACTTAATAGTATGGGTTCCAGCTCTAACCAGGAAAATATAAGATGTGCTATGTCACCATCGTTTCTTAGAGCTGAATAGTACTCCATGGTATACATATACCACGTTTTATTAATCCATTCTTGGATTGATGGGCACTTGGGCTGTTTCCACAGCCTTGCAATTATGAATTGTGCTGCTATAAACATTCGAGTGCAGGTGTCTTTTTTGTAGAGTGTCACTGGATCATTTGGGTAGATGCCCAGCAATGGGATTGCTGGATCAAATGGTAGATTCACTTGTATCGCTTTAAGATATCTCCATATTGCTTTCCACAGAGGTTGAACTAGTTCAGTCCCACCAGCAGTGTAGGAGTGTTCCTCTCTCTTCGTAACCACGCCAGCATTTATTGTTTGGAGACTTTTAAAAAACTTTTAACATAACAATTGATATAGCATCTTTCTACTTGGAGGGAGCCCAAAAGTCACATATTCTGTCCTTTGTACATGGGCAACCCAGTTTCTCACCTGGACTTTCTCTTGCTCACCTGGACAAAAAAAAAAGATGCTGAAGAAATGTGATAATTGCTTTTCTTAGGATGAAAAAAATTTTTCAAATGAGTAAGGCCTGTGCTCAACCAGAATTCTCACATTTTCATTTTGATGTATCTGCAGTTCACAGTGAAAACCCTACCATAGGGCATGTCTGTATTTGAGCTTGAAGTACCTCTGATTTAAAAAAAAAAAAAAAAAATCTATGTTCACTTCTTTTCGAGCATTAAAGGACCTTTTTCTACTCTAATTTCTTAAAAGCCTGTAAATAATGTACAGCATACATTACATCCCCACTAAGTAGAGAAGTTGACTAACTCATTTGTTACAACAAAGTCCCTGACCCCCCTCAGAAACCCCCTGAGGGTAACCCTCAGAAAACCAATATTAAAAGAAACCTGTTATCTCCCTGACTGCTTTCCTGGAGTGGGCATGAGATGTTTTGGTTGTTATATGGAGCTGTCAAAAACCGTGAACAGAGAAAATAAGGAAGAACGGCATGCCAGGGAATAAACAAGCTTAATCTGGACTAGACAAAAGGAGATAAAAAGAAGGCATGGGGAAGAAAAGGGCAGACAATGGGGAAGACAGAATGGACCCTGTAACATCAAGAAAAAACAGCAACCTTGTAAATACAAAGATGGTAAGCAACAAACACATGTCAGCAGCTCCATTGAGAAAGTAAGAGGAGATAAATTCCATCCCTCCCCCCTACCCCACAAGAATCACATTCTTCTGGGAAGGAAAAAAGTAGATGGAACCTTCCTCCTGGTAATGTATTGGCTGGCATGGCTGCAGCTTGGCTTCCATTGGCTTCCAGCAGCCAGGGAACAGCTGCGGGAAGGGCAACCCTAAATACAGGAAAGGTGAAGGAGCTTGGTTTTTCTGGTAGTTTCCTGCCCTGTGAGGCTGACAACACCATCCCTTAATCTGGCTGAATAAACCCGGATATCTTTCTTTTTTGAGAAGCAGGACTTTAACAACAAAAAGATTTTATTAATCCCACAAGTTTGAGAGAGGTAGGTGGGAAAAGCAAACATTAACTAACTGCTCCCTAGAATCCAACCAGTAATTAAAAATGTGCCCATCAAATATTCAAGAGCTACTCTTGTTTATAATTATCTAAGTGGTTCATACTGCTAATACATTTCTTTTCCTTTCACATTTACCTGTAAGAAAAGTTATTGTTATGGATATTTAAAAATTGTGGATTGGGAAATTTCACATAGTAATTCATGTGGATACATCTGTTATGCTTAATCTTTTATACCTAAGTGTGATTATTAGATGTAACTTTACAGAAATTCCATACAACTCGCTGCCATTTAAACTCATTCACATTTTTACTTGATTAATCTCAAGGATATTTTCTAAATTTATAAATAAATGATACAACCCATTAAATAAAACTTAAATAACAAATGGCTGGTTTAGGGGTGAACATGTGACTCAGGTCTGGCCAATAAGTTGTAGGGGATATTTTGACAGGCATCTGAGAACTGTTTATTTGCACTTAAAAAGAGAGAAAAAAGAAGGAAAACTTTCCTCTTCAACTGGACATTTTGCATCTGTACATATTTCCTCAAGAGGTGACAGCTGTCTTATGACTGAGTACAGCTAAGCCAACACATCAACACATTGAAACTGGCAGAGCAGAGGGCCAGAATCTGGGTCCTTGGTTTTGTAAGGCTGCTGAACCAACTAACCCTGGAGCAGTCCATCTCTGGACTTGTTATTCAACATAACAATTTCCTTTGTTGTTTAAGCTTTTTTGAATTGGGTTTTATACTACTTATAGCCAAGAGCAACCCCCAGGCTTCCTAACTGACATCTGTAGACTAGGGAGTTGCAACAAGAGGAACACGTCAACTTGTGGTTCAGACTTTACTTGGTGAAACCAGGGTCTTCGTCACTGGCCATGTGCCAACCTGCTCCATACCACAGGTTGGTAGTCTGCCTTCCTCTCTAGGGAAGAGGCATTTAGCTGTTGCCTGGGACATGGGGAAGGTCTATGGCTTGCCAAGATAGCTAAAGTCTGCAGGTTAGAAAGGCAGGATTTGTTTGGAAGTCATGAAGATGTGTTCTTTTTTTATTTTTTATTTTTTTTTTATTTTATTTTATTTTATTTTATTTTATTTTATTTTATTTTATTTTATTTTATTCTTTATTATTTCCATAAGAGACAGTAACATCCATGAAGATGTGTTCTTGTATTACACGGGCATCATCCTAGCTTCAGTGATGCCTGTCCTCAGCCAGTGGTTCACTGTGAGTACCCACCAAGGAGGATTTTCCCACTGCACACTGGACCTTAGGGGTTATCACAAGCTCCCTACCACTCTTCACCTGGTCTCTTCTTTCCAGCAAGTCATCACTTCTCCCCCCACCTGATGGTGGACTCAGCATTTCAGATGCCTGTCACCTTGTTGGTAGCTGATTTTCCTTTGCATTCACAATATGGATAACTGTCACAAGAGACCTATCTTTCAGCCTATCTTGGCTTTTGACATGCCTTCCTCACCAAGCTGAATCATTTCTAGCTATTTTTTTAAAGTGAAAGACATGTGACTCTTTCATTTGAACACTTAGAAGACACTGTAGAGTTACTAATTGGCCTAATTTTAATATTGTTGTGTCTCAAGGAATAGGGAGGCCTGAGGAGAGGGAGAGAGATGGGGGAATGGCCAGTTGGTAAAGCAGTCAGAACATACACAATATTTACCTATTAAGTTTGTGATCTTAAAAGCCCCAAAACAATTACAATAATAACAAAGATCACTGATCACAGATCACCATAACAGATATGATAATAAAGTTTGAAATATTGTAAGAATAACCAATATGTGACATAGAGACACAAAGTGAGCACATGCTGTTGGAAAAATGGCGCTGATAGACTTGCTTGACACAGAGTTGTCACAAACCTTCAATTTCTTTAAAAAAAATCAGTAACTGTGAAACACAATAAAGAGAAGTGCAATAAAATGAAGTGTGCCTGCATATGCGTGAGGTCATCTGGCCCAGTGAGCTGTCCAGCCACAGTCTGACTGCAGTTACAGGACAGGGTCCAGGCAAGACCAACAGAAGAAATACCTACAGAGTCATGAGGAATAATAAACTATTGTCATTTTAAGCCATTAGCTTTTGAGGTGGTTTGTGGCACAGCAATAGGTAACTGAAATACAATCCTCAACAATAACCCACACATTTACTTATTTTAAATTAGATATATATCTAATGAAAGATGTGCAATGCCTCTACTCAAGAAAATTATAAATCATTATTGAGACAAATAAGACCTAAATAAATGTTCATAGGCTGGAAGACATGCTATGGTCAATTGTCCCTATATTGATCTATGGATTTAGTATAACCCCATCAAAAAATCCAACAGGGTTTCTTTGCAGAATTTGACAAACTTATTACAAAACTTACCCGGAAATGAAAAGGGCCATGAATAGCCAAACAAGACAGAAGAAAAAGAACAAAGTGCTTACTTTACTGGATACTAAGACTTAAAATCTATAGTTATTAAGACAATTTGGTATTGATGCAAGTATAGACAAAAAGTCCAATAAGATTATAGAATCCGGAAAGTGACTCATGGATATAAGCATACTTGTTTGTCACAAATACGGCAATGCACAGCAGTAGGGAAAGGACTGCCTGAATAAATAGCCCTGGGTCAACTGGCTATTCATACGGACAAATGAAACCACATTTTTTATTACAACAATTAACTCTCAGTAAATTGTATTTCTAAATACAAAGGGGAAAATAACAAATCTATTTGAAGATAAACATAGGAGAAAATCATTGTGGCCTTGAAATAGGAAAAACATTTTTTAAAAAATCAAGACACGGGACACTCAAAAGACCATTTTGAGATGAAAAGGCAAGTCTCTGAATACAAGATATGTGTTTATCTGTGTGTGTGTGTGTGTGTGTGTGTATATAATCATGCGCCACATCGTGACATTTCAGTCAACGACAGACTGCATGTACAATGGTCCCTTGAGATCATAATACTGCATTTTTGTTGTACCTTTTCTATATTTAGATATAGAAATACCATTGCATTACAATTGCCTATTCAGTACAGTGACATATTGTACAGGATTTCAGCCTAGGAGCAATAGGCTATACCATATAGCCTAGGT